AACCTCTGTCTACCTATCTGACCACAAAATCCTTCCACATAATTGGAGCTGAGCAGCCAAAATTGGCACACAGTAGTGATGTCCTCACGTTGCCTAGCAACCACCTACACGTGGGCTAAAATGACCCATTTGTAGCATTTATGCACCTGCGACACCTTTATTAAAGCGAGCTTGGGATCGTTTTTGTTTATTTCTATACACAAAGCTAGACACGTGCAATATATAGTCATCTTGTTGCTTAGCAACCACCTAACAGCCTCAAATAACGTTTTATATAGTAGAACTGATGAGTGAATTGATGCTGTTTTTTTAGATTAAGTTGATGTGGTTCCTTGATCCTATAAAGATTTAGATACACTTTATTGTGTATCAATAGTCACGTCACTCCCACATTTACCTTGGATTTTTTTTAATATATATAAACACGATCTACCGCTCCTATTTTCTTACTTTTCTCGATGTCTTTATGCAAATCAGTTTGCCAGCAGCACAAACAGCCCAAACAATACTGCAGCTTGGCCACATGCTAGTAATGTAAATACTAGAGAGTGACTGTTACAGGGAGACATTTGAATATGCCCATGCTAAGTCTGCTCATAAGGTGTGAGCTATATCTGCCCAAACAGTGCAGTTTAAGAATAACTTAACAATTGTATAATGTGTTTATGTTTTTTAGTCATTCTAATTTTATCAGTTTCTTTGTCGTGTCAGGTCGAAATGAGCTGATAGCTCGCTATATCAAGCTGCGAACGGGGAAGACACGCACACGCAAACAGGTACGCACAGATCTTTGTATCGACTGCACCACCGATCTGTTTTAACAGGATTTAAGTGCATCTTGTTCACTGTAACTTGTTCCACCTTGTTTAAATGAATATTTATGGACTGTGTCTGTTTAAAATGATGAAATCATTGTGTAAATGTGTGTTTTCACGGGGGTAACCCTGGGTCCACAGGTGTCTAGTCATATTCAGGTTTTGGCACGTAAGAGGGTACGAGAATACCAGGCAAGCATCAAGGTGGGTTCTCACTGACTATACTCTACTCCTCTCTGTAGTCACAGCCTTCTTCTTTTCTCTTTCCTTTTCCTTCATCCTGTCTTTCCTCAGGTCTCTAGTCACCTGCAAGTCTTGGCCAAGAGAAAGTCTCGTGAGATTCAGTCTAAGCTGAAGGTATACATGCTCACTGACTTTGCAATGCTAGCCGCTTCGCTTTGCATGCTCAGATGTAACTTGACCCAATCTTAGACGTCTTCGTCAGAACTTATGGTGGATTTTTCTGCTTTTCTGCTGGGGTACTACCTTATTGGGGGTATCTTTACTGTCAAAGCCGACTCCCACCACCTTAAAACTACAAGTATATTTAACTATAGCTATATTTTCTAACCATATTCATGAGACTCGTGCCTTTAAAACTGGTGCCTTGTTCTTAGTTCTTAACATCGGCCATACGAGTCTCCAGACTCTTGCAGACGATCAATATAACCTTCATGGAGCCTTTTTGTCGAGACCAGTAGAAAACTTTGATGGACCAAAGTTAAATCCAGTATAGAAGGAGTTTGCTGCATGATTGGAATATACCGTAGTCAGTAGGGCACAGAATTTATTTATTTTTGCTTGTCTAGCATTGCACAGTACAAAAGTTTGTTTTCTTGAGTGTTTATATATGTATGGCATCATTTTTATGCATGGCTGGTACGTTGGTCATTTCACTTGGATCAAGACGTTTGTGGCTTTAGACAAATAATTGCATGAGTTTAGGTTGCTGGCTTTTGTTGACCACTTAGTTTACAATGCTAGCGGCATGTAACCTACATGCATGGCCCCATATCAGTAAACATGCAAGGTGTCTTTAATGTGGCCATTTGAGGAATTTCAAAAGTTTTCTCCGTTGATTTTTCTCTTTCTTTACATTCTTGCTCTTGAACATTTCCTACATTTCTGTTTATCTTTTCTCTCTATTTCTTCTTGTGGTTTTACCATTCTCTGTTCTACACAAAACAAATCTGTTGAACCACCTGCTCTCCCGTACACATTTGGAGAGTAATGTTTATAATCTCCAGATATAAACAAAGGACTCAGTTTTATGATGGAACAGATCAGTA